ATCCAAGCCAGCCAGACTGGTAGCTGCACCTTAGTTCACTAGCAACAAGAATACACCCTCCACCATACCTAGCACAGTCTAGCTTATCGGCTGCAAGGACATAAGTTATGTGTAGGGTTGCCACTTGTCCTATACTTCAACGTAAAATTCTATATCCTGTATTGATACAGTTTTGTCCTGTTTTTCAAATCTTCTCTCTCTCTCCCTCTCTTTCTCTCTGTACCAAGTTAGGGGTCCTCTCCAAATACATGTGTTTGAAATGCATTTCAGCTCTGGGCAATCAAGTACAGACAGATTTACAAATTTGTGTTTGTGTGTATGTGTATTTACACATGCCTGTATGACAAATTCCAGAGGGGGCATCCAGTTAGGCTGCAATAGATTGTAACGGATTGCTTTGAAGTCACTTCAGCACCAGATGGGGGGGGGGGAATCACCCCTCAACTGCCCCGACTCGCCCACCCTGTATTTTATCAGAACAAAGGTGAAAACCCTAGGTATATCGCACTCTATTCCCTAGCACCTCTGCATTCCTGCTCAGCTCCTGGAGCATCTACTATCTGAAGTGGTCTTTAGACATGGGTGAATCTGTCGATTTCAGTTTCTCTCTGTTCATGATTTTTTTTAGCTTTAAATCCAGTTTTCCATATTTCTACATTGTTTTGTGGGGGGTGTGGTGTCTGTGTGTGTATCCTCATGAAAATTCACCAGAATTTTAGTGAACATTTCTACAAATATATACACATTTTTGTGTGCCATTCTGCCAGATATACACATTTTTTTGCAGTACATGTTTTCCCTAATATATAATGCATTTTTGTGTATTATTTTCACTTCTGTATATGGATCTTAATGCACGCTTTGCCCTAGTATATTATATACACTTTTGTACACATTTCTTGGCTGGAAAACCAAATTGCAAAATTCAGAGCAGTGCAGATTTTAAAAAAGAATGGCAGTTTGCATATTGTTTTAGAAAGTGCAAATTAGGCTAGTTCACCTTTAAAAGCAAACTGAACTGAATTTCTCCCCCGTCCCTAGTGGCTGCCTAACTATGCTTATTGATAGACCTAGCCCTGGTCCATCATCTATCATAGGCAGCACATTCACAGGGAAAGCTGATGACCCAAGAGCAACAGATCCCACCCCACCCCCACCCCACATGTCCACACACTGGGAATAGTGTAAAGCATTACTCAGTTGATTTGGAAGTGAGTGGGAATAATTTTTCTCTACAGCATTTTGAAATAGTTGCTCACAAATACCTTTTCAGTATTCAAGGTTCCTGCTGAGTTTAGACACTCATGGGCTGGAATAAGTATTCCATTTGGCTCACTTGGGAGGGTCTGTGCAAAACCTGCTCATAGATTTGGCCACTTCTGAGTAATACAACATGTGGAATGCATCATAATAAAAGCTTTCAAGTGCATTCCTTCTCTGAAACATCTATAGCAAAGCTCCCACCGCCAGCCTGCAAGAGAATCAGCCATGGGCAGCAAGCCTCTGTGACCTATTTAATATGTTAAAAATAAATAGCTCTCCATTAATAATACATATTATAAGACTTCGGTTTGGATGCTCTTGGGTGGCTATGCTGTAAAATGTTTACTATTGATGCTGACTGCCAAGAAAACACTTCTATTGATGATATATTTGGGGGTTCCCTCACCCCTTCCTTCCTTCCTTCCTTCCTTCTCCCCTTCCTTGGATGGTTAGAGTCTCTGTGGGGCAGTCCTTGACACAATGGTTCAAAATTCAAGAAAGATTAATAGGGTTCAGTATAGCATGACTTGTTAGTTCAGAGATGCTTTTATAGGGCTGGCTGCATTCAGAAGCGAGAGCGCTGGGACGTTTGTATGTATGGTGTTGTTGGTCATAATCTGTTTGTTTACAAACAGGAGGGCAACCAAAATGGTCAAAGGCCTGGAAACGATGCCTTATGAGGAACGGCTAAGGGAGCTGGGCATGTTTAGCCTGGAGAAGAGGAGGTTAAGGGGTGATATGATAGCCATGTTCAAATATATAAAAGGATGTCACATAGAGGAGGGAGAAAGGTTGTTTTCTGCTGCTCCAGAGAAGCGGACACGGAGCAATGGATCCAAACTACAAGAAAGAAGATTCCACCTAAACATTAGGAAGAACTTCCTGACAGTAAGAGCTGTTCGACAGTGGAATTTGCTGCCAAGGAGTGTGGTGGAGTCTCCTTCTTTGGAGGTCTTTAAGCAGAGGCTTGACAACCAGATGTCAGGAGTGCTCTGATGGTGTTTCCTGCTTGGCAGGGGGTTGGACTCGATGGCCCTTGTGGTCTCTTCCAGCTCTATGATTCTATGATTCTATGATTCTATGAAATGTACAGGCTGATATTCCAAGGGAAAAGAATTGAGCACAGAAGGAACATGAGGATTCACAGGAATGTTGATACTGCTCTTAGAATTTAGGTTGAAAAGACACTGTGGGGATGCAGCAGGAGTCAATTGCACACATAAGCAGTAGCAAATCCAAGATAACTTCAACATTCTGAAGTTATAAACATGCTATTATATCTATATAGAGGTGAGGAACCTGTGCCTGCCCAGGACTCTCTATCCAGCCCCTGAGACTCTTCCCAAGCTATGCTCTCTTTTCATACTACACTTCTCTCTGACAATGTTGTGTAGAGGCGTACCTCGGGTCCCTTGTGCCCTTAGCAAAAAGCTGTATCAGTGCCCCCAGCAAGGAGCAGTATCAGCACCCTTGCCAATTCACTTTACCATGATAGCTCCCAGCCGAGCAAGGCCCACAAAAGGTCCAAGAAGCCGCTGGGGCTGCCGTCACCTCCAGGGTCAAGCTGGGAACACATGGAGGCAGTGTGGCTTCTTAGCCTGCACTCTCACCCAGCAGCAAGCAAGGAGGCAGATAGGCAGGCAGAGTCTAGTCAGGTCGCCTGGGGAGGGGGGACTTTGAGGACCACACACACACACACACAAAGTTGGGAGAAGTTAAAAGCCCCTGTTGATAGAGGGTGTGAAGAAGGTGGCAGCAGTGACTCCAACCATCCCATACCATCCTCCCACTCACCCCAATCTCTGAGGCCACTGTCATCCAAGCAATCTGTCTTCTGTCCCTCTCGCCCCACCATAGGAGCCAACTCCTAGGGGCCAAGGGGTCATCAGCCCCCCAATAAGATAACCACCACCCCCCCCCCCCCAAGTTGATGGGCATTGCCATTCAGATGGTGTGTGTGCACAGCATCATGTTATTGATTATGCAGGATGGGGCTTACCTGGGCCACCCCAATATTTTATTCAAGTTGGCACCCCTGCGTTCCACACAGCCAACTACCTTTCCTCTGTTGGAGCAATCTGGGTGATTTTGCAGGGAGGGGATTACCTGAGCCTCCGCCCCCAGCAGGGGTGAATTTCGCCAATCCCTAGGTACCCCCCTGCTGTTGTGCACCCCTCTTAACTGTCTTCCAGTTCCCCCTGCCTAATGAGGGGGGCAGGTGGTTACAAGGAAAGGGCCTTTTCAGTGGCAATACCCCAACTATGGAATGCTTTGCCCAAAAAGGCTCACCTGTGCCTATGTTTCAGTGCCACATGAAGACCCCTTTTTATTATTATCCCAGCTCTTTACATAACGAAGGTTTTTAGGGCATATTAGAACTAGCCTCCCTCTGCTAATTTTTAATGCCATTTTCCACCAAGTTGTTGATCTTATGCTTCTTTGTGATGGTTTTATGCTGTTTTCACATTGTGCTGGCACAGGTTTTTATACTTAGTATTTTATTAGGTTTTGTTGTATTTGCATTCTGTCGATCTTTTAAATTTGTGAACTGACCACACCTATCTCTATAAACCTCTTAGCTGGCTAGAAAAATTTGTTTCCACCTCTAACCTGGCAGGTAGGTAGATCTGCATTCCAAAATCACTTTAGACAGGAGCAGCCAAATGGCCCATTAGTTCCCAGTTGTCTGCCACCAGCAACCAGGCTGTACAGAATCTTGGGAAAGAGCCATTTCTCCATTTAACTAGCAGAAAAGCATTGTTCCAAACAGCATTGCCCTTGCATTGCCCCAAGAAGGTGAAACCCATTTTCTGGATGATTCTGTGCGAGGACCCAAACGCACAATTGTTTAGGACTTTCAAATGCAGACTGTACTAATATGAAATTGTGAAACATCAATAAGATATTGAATGATGACGATGATAAGCTGCAATTGACCAAAGAGTGTAAGCAATGCATTCAGATAGGAAGTTTTGAAGCTTAGGGTATATGAATCTGCTAAGTTCAGCACTTTGGGGATGGAATCATAGGGACACTTTACTTTGAATGTAAGAGCCATTGAACAGAGTGGTACTTGGTTCCACATAAAATGTAAGTTCAGTTTATTTCAGTTGAAGGAGTAAGCACTTGCCTAGCTCCACCCACTGAATCAACAGAAATTCTCAAACTTCTTTTTTTCACAGATCACTTGAAGATAGCTGGAGGTCTCAGCAGTCTTACAGTTTAATTATATAGAAAATCCAATAATTTATAAATATATAAATTCAATAAAGGGTGATGATGATGAACTATTATTTTACTTTTAAATAAAAACACAGGTGTACACGTATATATAATTGTTGGCATCATTGTTAAATCCAGTACTGTAGGAAGATAAAAATATAAGAAGAACCTGCTGGATCAGGCCAATGGCTCATGTAGTCCAGCATCTTCTTGTAACTGCCACCAACCAGATGTCTATGGGAAGCAACTGGCATTCAAAGAAACACAGGGACTTCCCATATGTATTGAACTGGGCCATAAGTCCATCTATTGTGTACAGCAGGCATCCCCAAACTCAGCCCTCCAGCTCTTTTGGGACTACAACTCCCATCATCCCTAGCTAACAGGACAAGTGATCAGGAGTGATGGGAATTATAGCCCCAAAACATCTGGAGGGCCGAGTTTGGGGATGCCTGATCTACAGTGAATGGAAGCGGCTCTTCTCAGTTCAGACCAGAAACATTGCCAGCCCTACCTGGAGATGCCAGGGATTGAACCTGAGACCTTCTGCATGCAAAACAGATGCTCTACCAGTGAGCCATGGTCCTATCTGACTGTGGAGGTGGAGTGACTGCAGCTCCATGGGCTCTAGTCCAGTCTCAGTGGTAGAATGCCTGCTTTGCATACATAGGGTTCACTTTCTGACATCTCCAGCTAAAGGTAGCAGCTACATCCATCTAAGGTGTCAAAGGTAGCAGCTACCTCCATCTAAAACCCTAGAAGGGCGCTGTCCAGCAGAGTAGACAATATTGCCTAGATGGATAAATAATCCAATCTGGTGTAAAACGGTTTCCTATGTTCTGGCTGCCTCCACCATTTCCGTACAAGAACTTATAGTTGTGCAAAGGTGGCATTGTGCAAAAACATACTTAAGCTAGGTTTGGATGGATCTGTCCATTTCATTTTCTCTGTTTCTTGCATCCTAAATTCGATTCTCCACATTTCCATACCAGTTTGCAATTCTTTTTCAAAAATAATAGTGCAAATTTCTCCTAATGCAAGTTCTTGTAAGCGATTTCCCCTCATGTTTGCATTTTTGCAAGCAATTTCCCTTGCTATAAGGCTTTTTTGGATATTATTTTCTATAATGCATGCATTTGTATGTACACTTTCGCTGATATACACATTTTTGTAAACATCATCTGGTTGGAAAAGTGCATGAGGAACATAGGAAGCTGTGTTATTGTGAGTTGGACCATTGGTCCAACAAGCTCAATGTTGTCTACACTGACTGGCAGCAGCTGAGCAAGGTTTCAGGTAGGAGCATCTCCCAGCTGGGGATTGAACCTGGGATCTTTTGCATTCACAGCAAATGCTCCACTGCTGAGTTATTGCCCTTCCCCAAAGGAATTTGGGGACAATCTGGAGAAGTGTAGACTTCATAGGATAGTTGCATTCCAAATTGTACATTGCTTTGTGAAGTGCAAATTAGTGAGTTTTGCATTAGAGTGCGAACTGAACCGTATCTCTCCCCCAGCTGTACTCTAAGCCAATTGAAGAGTGTCTGCACTGGAGTGTCTGGAAGCTTTTTCTTGGGCACTGAAGGGAGGCAAAGCAATGAATACAAGACTGATGATGATCCTAAGCTATTGATTTTGGGGCTTTAGCTTCCCTGCCTCTTCTGACTCGTTAGCTCTGGATAAAGGCTAAAGTACAAGCTAATCTGACTTGATTTTAGATCAGAGATGGACACATTTAAATAAAGCCTCTGCTCTCTCCAGTCTTAATGCACTGCTTAATGGGTCATCTGCATGACTCCAGGGAACGCAGGGACTGAGGAGGAGGGAGAGGTGGGCTGTATTAGCAGGAACCGTCTACATTTCTGCATTATGGTAAGGGTAATGTTTAATTTTTTTATTCTTCAAAGAAAAATGCACAGAGCTTTAAGGCTGAGAAAGACTTTTTGCAGCTGAAGATCTTAGTTTTAAGAAGGACCTTCACTCAGGACTTGAATTACAAGGAAGCCTGATTTCTTTTGGAGGGGGCGCAGTTCCTGTGCTTTAGCAGGGCAGGATTGTGGGGGGCAGAGGTCCACGGCTGCACCCCCAGAAGGAGCAGGATAGCCAACCCCCCCCAATGCAGCATGGTAGACAGCATGGTAGAGAGGTGGGGGAGAAACGTGATTTTGTTTGCATGTTAATGAGAAACTAACCCACATGTCATGATGCAGTTCTCCAGCCAAATGCCGTGTGCAAATCTGCATGTGTTAGGAGAAAGTATACATGGAAATGCATATATGGCTGAAAACATGCAAAATTGCATCCAAATTGGATTACTGCAGCGTACTCTGCATTGCGCTGCACTGGAAGGCGACTCAGAAACTGCAGCTGGCCCAAATTGCAGCCTACAGGTTACTGTTTAAGGTTCCATGTAGAACATATAGAACCCCTGTGTTAAAGCACTAGTTGCCAGTTCATTTCCAGGCCAAATTTAAGGGGCTCACATTAGTGTTTAAAACCACAAATGACTTGGGCCCCAAATATCTGAAAGATGGCCTCTTTCTGTACATACCCTCAAGATCAGCAGAGGGGGCTATCTTGGTAGTTTCAGCTCCCTCAGATGTTCAGAGTTGCCCAAGAAAAGACGCCCTCTATTGCAGCTCCAAGTTGTGAAATTTCATCCTCACAGAGGTGTATCTGACACATTCTTTATGCAATTTCTTTTATACACTGAAGACACTCCTTTTTACTCTGGCCTTTGCACCTACATATATTAATACCCACCCTCCTCTTGTGGCTGTCCTTTGTTTTAAACTGTTTTTAGCATTGCATCTTAAATTGTTGTAACCTGCCCTGAGATTTCCTGTTAAGGGACTTAATAAATAGGGGGTGGGAATAGTAAATGAATATATTAGGGAAACTGCTTGCAAAAATATGTTTTTTTAATTCGGAGAAATTTGCACGAACAATCTGAATGGTTTTCTTGAGGGTTGTATTTTATTTTATTTTTAGTTTCAAATTGCTGCAGAAATGTGAATAACTGGATTCAATATTGGGCAAATGTGGCATGATCTCTTAGAGTAATCAAATGAAACTTTAACACAGGGCATGATAAAAGTCTGTAATTTCATCATGACAAGTTACTTGTTGTTTACTGTTGTAACAATTGATTTCTCAAAATTTATCTTCCGTACCATGAAAATAAACAAAAACAGTATTTTTTTAAAAAAATTGGGCAAATGAGAAACTTAAGAGGGACTGAAATCAATAGCCCCTTAAGACATATCTAACACAAAAAACGGCAATCTTTTTCAGCCTGAGGGTCACACGGTCTCATAGGCAACCTTCTGTGAGCCACCCATTTATGGTAGGCAGGGCCAGAGGCAAAAGGGGATCAGAGCAACAAAGATGACTCTTGTTTCTGTACAGAAGGCTACATCCCAGCCATGCAAAAGTGAGATTTCTACACCCACCATTAGGGAGGGAGGAGAAATTTGATTCTGCTTGCATTTAAAGGCAAACCTACCTTTTTCACATTTTCCGAAATACAGTCATACCTCGGGTTGAAGACGCTTCAAGTTGAGTGCATTCAAGTTGCGCTCCTCGGGAACCCGGAAGTAATGGTGCGCGTTACTTCCGGGTTTCGCTGCTTGCGCATGCGCAGACGCTCAAAATGACATCACGCGCATGCGCAGAAGCAGTGAAAAGCGACTCGCACGTGCACAGACGCGCCGTCGCTAGTTACGTTTACTTCTAGATACGAACAGGGCTCCAGAACGGATCCCGTTTGTATCTAGAGGTACCACTGTAATATGTGGACCAAAACACAGCCATCCTTTGAAATTCGCACTTAACCAAATTTTGCAATGCAGTTCTTCAGTCAAGTAGTGTGTACAAAAATGTACATGCTGGATTATGTACTTGCACAGATTAGTTTATGAAGATAACATGCAAAAGTGCATTATGTATGGGGGAAATTGCCTTGCAAAAGTGTGTAAGTTTTGCAAAATTGCATATGAAAATGTGCAAAAAATTCTGATGAATTTTCACTAGAATATTTTCATGAGAAAAATGAGAGAAACTAAAAGTGACCAATTTGACATTCCCTACCCACAAATCACATATTTACAGCGTCCAAGCAAGCATGAGACATTTTCACAGTTCAATAACATTTCAGTTTGCAAAAATGTTCATTTGTTTGTCAATCATTATGGTAGCTTAGTATTCATTACCCCCCCCCCCAAAAAAAAAGGAGTCTTGGAGGAGTGGGTTTTACTTCTTGCTGAATGGAGTAAATATTAGTATTACTATTGTCGTTTCAATTTATTACCTGCCCTTCACCATCTGGTCCCAGGGCAAGTTACTACAATGGAAAACTGTTAAAGCACAGTTAAGACACTTATATGCTGTTCTTTTTAAGTAAAAGGATCCTTTCTGCTTGCTTAAAGAAAAAAAAATCAAAGCCAATAATTTAGAGAAAAGGCTTAGAAATCTCCCTTAGAAAGTCAGCTCCCTTTCCCAAGGGTTACAGCCCTGCATCCAGTTTACTGTCAGAAACATACAAAATCAATAGCTTGGTCCAGACCCTCTGTGTGCAAATTGCTACCAGTGGATTCCTGTAGAGTTACAGTATATGAGCAATCAAAGATAAAGATTGTTTGGGGCTGCCTGAGCTGGACTCACCACCAGAGAATCGTCCTAGCTGCTGGCTCTGCCTCATGCACATGCATGCACATGCCTCCTCCCCCCGTCCCCATTTAACAGAATAAAGCAGGTACGCTCAGTTTACATTAACAACAAAAGAGTCTTGTGGCACCTAAAAGGCTAAAAGGTGTAATAGAGCAAAGTTTCCATGGGCTGGAGTTGGCGACTACATGCTTTTGACTAGATTCTGTGTACCATCCCCATGTGCGTGTGTACTACAACCCCTGTCCATGCATATGCTCTGTACATGAATACAGTTTGTATATGCAAAGGGACTGTATGCACTTGGTTTAGTGAACACGTGTAAGTGTGGAATCCACTGCTCCCATGCTGCAGCACCACTAACACCCATGCAAGTGTACTCTTGCACATCAAGTGTCCGGATCAACCTTAGGATTCCATGTGTTCTGCTGCTTTGGTTGCTCCATTGGACAACTTAGGAAAGATGTCCATCACACAGAGAGGCAAGTTAATTCCGTGTCTGGTTTTGGCCTGGGTGCCATAATTTAGGAAGGATACAGGCTAAAATTGGGGAGCATTGGGCCCAGGAACCAAGTATGGCCCTCCAAGCCTCTCTAGCTGGGCATATGTCCTTTCTTTGGGTCACTGCCCTGCTTCACAAACACAGAGTGTTTCTGCTTGGCTGGAGTGCATCCTTGAACTCTGATAATATACCTTGCTTGTCTTGATGGAGAACAGGGACATAAAGAACTGCATCAGAGCATTGGTCCATCTAGCTGAGTGTTGTCTACAGTGACTGACAGTGGCTCTCCAAGGTTTCAGGCATCATTCTCTCTCAGCTGTGCCTGGAACAGAATCTGGGAATTTCTGTATGCAAAGCAGAAACTACAACTGTAGGGCGCTTCTTTGCCAGGGTGTTCACTGCAGGGAATGCACTAGGGAA